TTTTCCCTGGTTCATGTATTTTGGGATAGATGAAGTATCTTAGGGATGATTGCTTAACAAAGCAGGAAAACATGGAAGGAACAAAGGGAATTGGTCTTTCAGTTGTTTGTGCTATTAACTGTAAGTATGATATACCATGTTCTCTGGTTGTTGTATTATCTATATGTGTCGTATGCATTTGTTTCTTGTTCGGTTAACTTATACAATTTGCAGATCGTGCTCCAACACAGAGGTCCATAGATTCTTATTATTATCCTATCATTGAATTCAATTGTTCCATCTTCTGCAACAATTTTTAATGTCTTCTATTTGCTCATGTATAATTGTTTTTGTTTTTCCTATCTTTTATCTTGGATGATTTAGTTGATTTCATTGTAGTTTCTTTTAATGGAAAATCCTAAAAATTACCTCCAAGTTTGGTAGATTCTATCTTTTTTTCTTTAAATCTACTTGCAATGTGTTGATTTGGGACAACCCATTGAGAAACAACCAGCTGATAATGTCCAATTTACATCTATGTATTGTTTTAATGAATTGGAATAAGTTAATTCATGGAACTTTTGTAGTTTCTGCCTTTGGCTACTTTAGCCTATAGTAAGTTGCTTATGTTTGTATATGGAATTTACCACTTTTTTTCTCAGATTGGTCATGTCAAATCCCAATTGGGGATGACAACACAACTTAATAGTGTCTAATACATATTAATACCAGTTATATGCAACAGTGTTGGATTGGAATGTATGTTATAATGAGGGAGGTTGGGATAGATTCTTACCATCTGACGAGGGTAACTCTGATGATGAAGAATTGACGAAAGTCATCGACCAAACAGATCATTCAATTTTTTGGACCATGAAATTGCTGAGCTCACAAAGCTTAGATCAAGCCAAAAAGTACAGCTAAGACCTTCCTCGAAAGCAGAATCTCTTATTTCAATAGTGAAGATGTTGCCATGTTGGAGAATCAAGTTCTTCAAGAGGGATGTTCTCTTGAGTAGATGGTTGTCTTGTTCTAAGTCAGTGTTTGCCTGCCAATGGTCCTTGGGTTGTCAACCAAAAGACGACCCGAGCTTGTGCTTCTAATTTTCCCCTATGCTCTCTTTTTGTTGCTGGTTTTCTCCTATTGGTTATTTTCCTAGGAAATTTATTTATGCAATCAAAAGGTTCATGAAACTTTTATCTGGAAGTTCTGATTTTTTCTTACCCTTACATCGGTTTCTTAGGAAGAAATGAAAAATGAATCTTATCATTCATTAATGTCTACATTAAAGGACCTAATGATTAAATGGATTGAACAAAATATAATATGGCAAACTGAGTGTTATGAATTGTGTCATTTGATTATAGTATTAACTAATCCATGACAAAGTTAAGTTGAATTTGGGATTTTTGTCACTTTTCTTAGTCACATGGGTAGTGAACTATTCATTGATTGCCATGCTTGCTCATTTTCCATTTGCAGGCCATGTTATGAATATGAGGGAGGAGTGGGAATTTGACTTTCCCCCAATGCAAGACCAGAATACAATATGGCAAGGTTTGTTCCATATTGGATTCTATTCATTAAGTGTGGTGTATGTGTACTGACAAAATGGTTTGTTCTATATTTGTCCTGGTCATTATGTGCATTTACGTGTAATCCATTCATTAGTTTTCCAACACTTGCTACTTTGTGAGCATCTATGTGCAACCATACTGTTAGAGCGTTACTTGGTGCAGTAAGTCAACCCTTTTTTATATGCATGTCTACCCCCATGGAGTATGAATAAATTTATCTTTCAATTATTCCCTGTCATAGACGTGCAATTAGTCAACTATTTCGATTCAATTCTACCTCCAGGGGTTGTGAGTTTCTCACTGTGTTCTGTGGAAGTTTTAAGACATAATAAAACTAAATCAAAACCAGCGCTAATGTTTTAAACTTAAAATTTATGAGTTTCCAATTAGAGAGTCATCTTGGTTGGGAGGAGCAATCTACACGCCTTTTGTTTAGACCAATGCACTTAGGGAGCATTCTACTGTTTTTGGAGAATGTGCTTTAGCGACTACTTTCTTCGTGCCTACAAAGCTTTTTTTTTTGCCTAACTTGATAATATTCTGTCCGTTTTCTTTCTTCGTTTACTGTGATGTTTGCCATTAGAAAGGTTTTCGTTAGGTGCCCCATTAGTCATCAGAAAGGATTTAAGTAGTAATTTGAGGTGGTAAATTTTAATGGCTAATGTTGAACCTAAACAGTGAATACCAGAGAACATATGCAATTTGAAAATAGATATACCTCGAAGTGATCCTCAGATAATTGTAAATGCATACACTTGACAGAATTGGATGTGTATGAAGTTTGAATATGACCACTACTAAGACAATGCATGGTTTCTTTTAAGTTGTTGACCCTTTCCATAATTTATCCATTAACTTTAATTTTTAATAAAAAAATTAACTCATTATTTATATCATTCATTCTCCCCACCCCCCTCCCCCATATCTTCTTCATGAAAAACCTTTCGATATAAATTTTGGACTAGCAATCGGTACTGCCCTTGTCATTGTTGTTTTTTTTTTTCATAAAAGGGGAAAGGGGGAGGGGGACTTGAACCCTTGACGTTAAGAAAACAAAGCCTTTACAAAATAAGGAGTACCATTGGACTAAAGGCCCCATAAATAACAATGTATTTATTAGAAGAAGAAATGACTATTGCTCTTTTTTTTTTGTTTAACTTTTTGTTATTTCTAACCAATATCTGTTGTTGGATTTTTTGTTTGCTCAAGAACTAATAGTATTGATAATATAATTCATAGATCAAGTTTACTTTGTAATTCATTGTCTCTTAAAAACCTTTTCTATGTCATACCGTAAAATATTTACTTTTTGCAGGTACAATTTATGAATCTCAATATATAAGATGCATCTCAAAATGAGAAAGGACTAGATCTCGTAAATGTTTAATTTTGATCACTAGAGTGAAGCTTATGAAAATGCCTAAAACTTCAAAATGACGAAGTTTAAGTGTAATATAATATTTTATACTAAAAATGGTTCACATGTACACCAACTAATTACTTATAAATGTCAGCATCTGCAAAAAAGTTTTTGATTTTCTATTTTATTTCTAATTATTATAATAAAGTCAATCATATGCATTTATATATTTTTATCTATTTTTTTTTATACCTATTTGACTTTCAACTTGTTTTGGACTCTTTTATAAGAACTTCTAAATTTTTTTGAACTAATTTATTAGTAATACAGTTACATACAATTATCAATATCTGTATGAAAAAGTAAAGTGTTATATATGTTAAATTAATATATACATGTAATTACCAGATTGAATTTTATAGTCAAATATATATTAGATTTTATTTTTTGATATGAAATAAAATAATAATATTATAAGCGATTTAATCAATTTATTTAACAAAATAAAAATTAATAATTCAATAATATAATTAAATGTGCAAATGCTTAAAAGGGTTGAAAAAATACCTAAATATTGGAACCTAATTTATTATTTAATTTAATTGCACATATAATTCATATTTTCTATAAAAGTAATAATATTTAAATTTGTTTACGTGCAACACATGTTGTGTATAGCTAATAATAATAAAAATGGATTAAAAGCATAAGAAAAAGAAGTCAGATATGAGCACTACAAGAAATTAGGCTTTTAGTGACAAGATTTATATTGTAGTTAAAAATATTGCCACAAAATATATATAATTAGTGGTGAAAAATTAGTGTTACCACTGAATATATGATATTAAATTCAATTAGTGACAATTTAAATATTGTAGCAAAAATATCACTAATTCATCACAAATTTTATCGAAGAAAACTTTTAGTGGTACAAGTCCACAGTAAAACCTGTCAAGTTAAGTCTTTGAATTCCCCTCCTAGTAGGGGGGACGTTCTAAATTCAAAGTGGACTTTTGGGGCAAAGCTTAGACCAAAGGTGCCTAATAGTGTAGGGAAACTAATCGGGTAACGAATCTCGTCCTTAGCTAAACCAAGTCCCAGGTGGTAACCTAATCGAAGTTGAGCTTGTGTCAAGCCCGCTTTTTTATAAAATCTCAACGTGGGATAGAAGAGGTTTGGAACCCTCATCACGAATTTCATATGGGATATCCACAAAGGATACCAAGGATGGTCGTGGATCAATACAAGATTGAGAAGAAGAGTCCAACATATAATAAAGTCTTGAATGAAGCTTGGGTTGATGGGGTTTTCTTTACTAGTGAACCAATCTTGGGAGTAAAGCATGATATGATGCATTCTTCCTCAACTTCAAGTTCACTAACTAAAGTGATAATGGTTCCGTTAATGGAAAAATTGATATTGATATGATATGAGGATACCACAACCAAGTTGGCGTGGATCCAAGGTCGTGCTAGCAACATTTTATATTTATTTTATAGTATATCCGCTACATGGAATAGAGTTGACCGAACAAGGGGTCCTATTTGGAGATTAAGTTGAACTATACCTTGCGTGGTTCGAGTGGTCCCGTCATATGCACGAACAACTGTAGTCAAGAGCAAACCAGGAAGGGTAAAAATGAGACTTCCTAGTTGTACTCGATGTGAAAATCTTCCATTTTGCACAAGTGTCTATTAAGACCCTCTTGATTTTTGGTAGTGGTCTACAAAGGCCTCTACATACAGGGATCGAGTATGGGGATTGCAAATGTAAAGTCAAAATCATTCTGAGTGAAGGTAATTGGTTGGGGAGAAATTAGACTTCCCGCCATAGCAATTTAAATTTTGCCACTAATGATTTAAAGTTTAAGTGATAAAATTTTTTACTTGCAGCAAAAATATGCAATTTTTACAGCAACAATGTTTTTTCCCGTCACTGTACGATAATTTTAGTGACAGTAAAAGTTGCCATCGATAAGTCTTTGCAAAATAAGCCCAAAAAAAAGTTCTTCGCTTCATATTTACCCTAACTCTTTGCCCCCCCCCCCTTCTCTTTCCCTCTCGATCTCTAGATCTGAAATTTCAATGGTGGCACCCTTGACTGTTCGAGCATCTTGTGAGCGTGGTGTGTTGTGTCGTCGTTCTACGGCCACTACTGTATTTGTGTTGAAGAATTGCAAGGTAGGGTTTTCTTTTAGATCTTTCAATTTTTGTCCTCCCGTCAATCTCTCACTTATGTCCTTCGAAATGCTTGATATCATGTTCAAGTTTGTTAAATTGAGTGTGATTTCATGGTCAAGTGATGTTATGAGATGAATATTTCCTTCTTTGTGTTATGGACTTAATAGGCGACTTTTGATTTTGGATTTTGGTTGTAGTTTGTGTTGAATTGACGATATTTTATAGTGAATCAACGAAATCTAGGCCTTTCTCACTATATTGTTCGATGAAAGTTTTGCAAAAGTGATATACTGCTAAAGTTTATATCGTGAGATGTGGTTTCTTGCTTTGATTGACATTAATTCTATAGGAAACTCAGTGGCTCTAATTTTGTTGAATACTTGTTTAGATCCTAAGTTGTATCCCTCACGCACGATATCGAAATTTTGGTATTGTTTCTCTCTCCCTCTCTATCTCTCTCTGGACCTCCCAGTGGTGGTCATTCTAGTACCGTAGGTGTCATGTTCCTTCTCATTAATCAAGTATAGACCTAATATGTGGCTTTAATTTATGCTTCTTTGGTTTATTGTTGTTCTGGTTAATGTTTACCGTTTATATCTGTTACTCTGTCTATATTCTATATGCTTAGAGAATCTGACAAAAAGAAACTGCCCATGATAGCGGTGTGGGGTGTGTCTCACTTCAATTTTTTTTGGTCTTTATCTGATGAGCTTGCTAATCTCTACCGATCATTTCTGGAGAGTGTAAAATATTTGCATCATCTGTTGCAGTTGTATGCCCGAGTGTAAGCTTGCGCTGAATGATAGAGTGTTGTTAGAGTCACAGGGACGATCAACTAAGGGAAAAGTCTTTGATCTAGATGACATCAAATTTCATCAGCATGTAGTCTAACCCTTGGTGTGGTTTTTTTACTCTCTCTCTCTCTTCCTTGCTCCTTGTTCTCCTACTCATGCTACTCTTTGTGTAGGGGTGTTCATTTGGCCCGCTTCAAAAATGATGAGGCAGTATCATTTATACCTCGTGATGGTTCTTTTGATCTCATGACATATAGACTCAGGTTCTCCTTTTGGTTATGTGGTTTTTGTCCTTACTTGTTCACGTCTTCATGTACTACCTCATATAATCATATCCAGGTGCTAGAAATTCCTTTTTTTTGAAGTTGAAAGATGCAGATATTATCTATACTTTGCAGTGGATCTGGAAATTGACAAGGATGCACTAAAGCTTATTACATCAAGATCAGATGGATCTTTATGGGATGTTGAGATGACCGTTGAACAACTGAATTTGATTGGGCAGTGAATCTCTGTTCCTCTTGTTCAGGAACTGGTAAGTTATATGTCTGTTTAGCAAAACTAAAACAGATTTTTGGAATTGTTTTTCTTACCCTGCATCATTTTATTATCTAATTACCCACAACCAATGTTGTTATACACCAGCAACCTCTATTGAATTTCATGTGCTTGCATTCATCAATTTAGCAACTACATATGTTTCAGAGAATAGGCATTGCCCTGTATTTAGAGCTAGTACTTACATCTCTCGAATATTGCTTATCCTGTTAACATTAATGTCCTAAAAAATTGTTTTTTTCCTTGGCTTAGATAGATGCTGCCAACACTGCTTGTCTTTTTGTGCGACTTGGTTAATTTGTTGAGTTTTTATTGCTAAACAAATTACTATCCTACAGCAATCTTCACTTGATACTTGCAATTGGTTAAACACTTTACCAGAGACGGTTGATAAGGTTCCACAATTCATTCAAGTTAATGCACGTGTTTGGCCATAGTACTTCCTTTAGTTCTTAGTTGTCAACATAGCCAAGGAGCCTTTCTGGCATATAACTTTGTGTAAATTGTTTTTTCGTCCGTTAATTTTCCTGGTTTGTCAGACTATGTTGATGACCAGGGATACTACTGTAATGATATCTGTTTCTTTTTGATAAGGAACTTTTATGATGGCCCATGGAAACAATGCCCTTTTGGTGCTTGTGCAATGCCATCCTTCAAGCCTCTTCAAGGCTACCTTTCAGCCAGTGGCTAACTTTATTGCTCATCCAAAATTATTAACTAGTCCTCAAATTTATTACTGTCATATGATGGGTGATAGATAGTCTACATTTGGTCAACTGAAGTCCTTGTTTTAGGCCTAGGGCTTCTTGGCCAATGGAGTACGATAATTTTGATTCACAAAGATGTATATACTTCGTCTGCATGGATCAGAGCCTCTCATCAAAGAAATAAATAAAATTTGAACTAAAAATAGGAGTATCTGTAAAAGGCTATTAGTGGGCTCATCCTTTATGCCATATGCTGAATACTGATTCTTTTTATAGAATTTTGATGAACTGCATAAAATTGAAAATGCCAAAAAAGGGGGGACTCATCCCTTGTATGTGTGAGGTTTTATTTTATGTTACTCTTTAATGTGCTTGAATTTAGTGCTCAACATGCCTTGAATTATGTATTACCTGCAGAACATCTCAAAACCTCTTACTGATTTGTGGGGGTTGCTATGTATGAATTGCTGAGATGATTATTAATTGCGGGTTGGGCTCATATCTGACGAGAAGTTAGTAGATCTACTCGATTTAGCATTATCTGCTGACACAGTTAACACTGTAATCAATTTAATTAATTTATTTTTATCTCTTTTACTAATTGTTGTTTGATTATTTGTTCATATGTTATACTCTTTGTGCTTCCTATTAATGTTGGGTAATTTTTGTTTGGTACAAACCAGTGGAAGCTCTGATAACAGTTTTGGAAGGCTCACTTTTAAAGACTAAGACGAAAGATTCAATAACCTGTCAAAAATTGAATGTGTAGTTGAGAGTTGATTGTTGTGCAATTACTTTCTTTTGAGTAGGTATCATTGTCTAGTTGATAGGACACAATTTGAAATCATGATCATAATTTTTTTGTTCATTCCTATTCTTTAATGATGATGCATTGTACACGTACAATTTAATGATACTAATATCATAATATTATTTTTACATGATTTGATTTGGGAATTATATCTTTGAAAGTGAGTGTTTGTGTTATTATGTTATTTGTTTCCTCATTGGGTATATATATTGATTCATTGAACTATAACAGGTATGTGAAATTGGAAAATATTCAAAAATAAATTCTTTCAAATATGTAATAGGTGTTTTTATGTACATTTTAATGTATTAACCGAAACAATAAGTTATCACTAAAAGCATGTTTCAAATTTTAATGGTAATTTTAATTATGGGTAAAATATATACTTTTAGCCGTAATTAATTGTTGTCACAAAAAGTCAGATTTTAATTGGAATTTTAGTGATGACATGGTATATTTTAGTGACAAAATTTCGTTAACTCGTTACAATAATTATTGTGGCTAACATTATTGAAATTTTCATATTGTGGTTAAAAAATTTATTTTTAATGGTAACAATTAAATGTCAAAGTTAAAGGATTTAGCCACACATATTGTCACGGCCTAGTGGCAATAAAAATTGTCACTAAAGTATATATTGATATTTTTTATACATTTAATTGCAACAATTTCTGAGACTAAAAGACCAATTTCTTGCGGTAGAGGTAAGGGAAGCTGAAAGGGTGGCACAATAAAGTACTGAGCCCATCTACAAGAGGCTTTCGTTACTGTGGAGTTTAGAATCACCTCATGTACAGACCTTTATTTTCAAATACATTTATGTCTCGAAACTTTGATGCCTGGTTGACAATGGAATAACCTTTGTCACTACACCGAGACCCACCTCCCAAATAGAACCCCCAGTGCAACCCCAAAATAAGTTCCATGAGGAAAGGAAACTTCTTCTTGTCCTTGCTATAGGTCATCTGCAAAAACAAAAGTAGTGTTTCACCCCCTCCCTCCCCCAAAACTCAAGAATGGAAAAAATTATGTTCTACCAGGAAACTCAATTTAGCATAGACTAACTTATCAGTTCCAATACAATGAAATATGTATTAAACTCCAATCAATGACAACAATAAGGTCTTCTCTTACTGTCCAATCTTGGGAATTTTCAAACAAAGGTTACATAATTAAATTGCATAGAGGCATATCATTCAGCTACTGATCTTCAACCGTGTGTATGATACAGAGAGAGAGAACCTCAAAGCAAACACTCTTTTTCTTATTGTTAAAGAAAGCTCATTTGTTCCTTCTTCATCATCTTATTCATCATCTCTTTCTATTTGCTTGTCACGCTCATCATCATCATCTTCTTCTGCTGCTTCTTCTATTTGCTTGTCATCATCATCATCTTCATCTTGTTCATAATAATTGTCGTGTTTGAGGCTAGATGACAAGAAGGAAAGTGGTGACTTAAAAGGCGAGAAATAGTTTAGCCTTGAAATGAAACTGGGCAATAGTGCATAGATAACTATCTTCTTTAATTTTTCAGGGGGAAGTGAGAAATAAAAGGAAGAAATTGAAAAGAATAAAGACATACAGTTCGCTTGCATTTTGTATGGTTGTGTTAAGATCACCCATCCAAAATTCTTGTCCGCCAATGGATATATTTCCTTCTCCTAGCTTTCCTGTGCTTAGTGGTCCAGAGCTGAAAGTCTTCATGTTTGGACAGCCGCTGATTTCCAGTTTATTCAATGACGGAAATTGAAATTCACAGTTTCCAGAGCAAAAGCAATTGAGGTTTTCTAGATTTGCAATCGATATCTCTTTCAATTGTGGAAACAAAATTGTGTCCCCTATCATTTGTTCTTCCTCCTTTGTAGTAACAATCTCGTCTAAAATCTTGATCTTCAAAAGATCTTCTTCCGTGTCAATAATTTCTTCAATCATCTTGCACTCATAAACCTGTAGCAACATTAGATTCCCAAACAATTTTGCCATAGTAGGTGACAATAGGTATCTCAAGCTGTCACACTTCCTAATTTCAATCCATGTCAAATTCTGAAAACCTTGAAGGTTTTTGGGAACCATCCTCCATACATGCATCAACTTAGGTAAATAAAATAATTCCAATGACTTCAACTGACCAAGTGTGACTTCTGCATGATCTCTCCGAGCTGTTAACCCCTCGAAGTTAAACACTGCTTCCAGTTCGCAACAACCATTGACACGAAGGAATTGGAGATTTGGAAATAGTTTTTGCTGACCAGGTGCAACAACATTGAAAACCTTTTCACAATACGACACATCCAAGCCTCTTGGTTTGTGGAAGGACCCACCTTGCATTTGGTAGTCTACTATGTGCACCACACTGATTCTGCCGAGATGCAGTGTCTCCAAGTTAGGCAGAAAAACCTGCGATTATATGAAGTTTTCAAGAAAGTGATCATGATAAACCGTATGTATGGCCAATAAACAATTAACTACACGCAGCACAGAAAAAAAAAAGGAGCTTCATTCACTAAAACATCAACCTATATCAAACCCTCTACTTGTTGCGGACAAATTGCACTTTAGGGCATGCAGCATTTTTCAATTAAATTTTGACGAATTATATTTGAAAATAAGTCTTTTTAATTTACAATATAAGTCTTAAAGATTGATTAAACATAGAAGGACCAAAAGTAAGTATACAATNGAATTATATTTGAAAATAAGTCTTTTTAATTTACAATATAAGTCTTAAAGATTGATTAAACATAGAAGGACCAAAAGTAAGTATACAATATCAATGCAAACAAAAAAGTTACAAAAAATGAGGTTAATTATATAAGAGATGTGATCAAAATATCAATATTAAAGTCATAACTTGTAATATCAATACCAAAGTTTGAAGGTTGTGGCGTGTGATACGTCACTGATTACTGGTGCTTTGTTTGCTTTAGTGCTTTTGGAGAGAACTTTAGAATTGAGTAGACCAGAAATTCTTTTATACAATTTCTTTTTTTTATTGTTGACTCCTAGAGATTCTATAGTACATTCTATTTTTATCACAGTCCATTAACCAAGAGAGATTTGCTCTACTAAAGGACCCAATTTTGTTTATTTAAAGATATTAGGGTGGGCATAATTGAAAATATTAAAAAAATATATATACACAAATCATACATTGGTAAAAAANAGAAGCATATATAATATCTATTGCTAGTCACATGTTTGTAATACCATTTTATAACAAATAAATTAACATTTCTAACAAATGCAATATGATATGCATAAGTATATTTAATGTTCCATTCTAACAACTAATTCTATAAAAAAAATTAAGAATTTTGATTAAGTACTAACGCAATAGAATTCGTAATAATCTCCAAAGAACCAAGTAGGTTCGTTAAAAAACAATAACTTGGAAGTGGGGGAGAGTATGTGTGTACGTTTGTAGTTTTTTTT